TTGGGGTCAGGATTTGGGGATGGGGATTTGGGATTGGGATTTTAACACCGGATTTGGGGACAGGATTTGGGGACAGGAATTTGGGAATGGGATTTTGGGGATGCGAATTTGGGAGTGGAATTTTGGGAATGGGATTTTGGGGGCAGGATTTGGACACAGGAATTTGGGATCGGGATTTTAAGAGCAGATTTGGGGTCAGGACTTGGTGCATCAGGATTTGGGGTCGGAATTTGGGAATGGGAATTTGGGGATGGGGATTTGGGAATGGGAATTTGGGGACAGGAATTTGGGAATGGGATTTTGGGGACAGGATTTTGGGAATAGGAATTTGGGATCGGGATTTTACGAGCGGATTTGGGGTCAGGACTCGGTGGATCAGGATTTGGGGTCAGGATTTGGGAATGGGAATTTGGGGATGGGGATTTGGAATTGGGACTTTGGAAGTGGGATTTTGGGAATGGGATTATTTGGGAAAGGAATTTGGGAATGGGAATTTGGGGTCAGGATTTGGGGTCAGGAATTTGGGGACAGGAATTCGGGAATGGGATTTTGGGGACAGGAATTTGGGAATGGTATTTTCGGGACAGGATTTTGGGAATTTGGGGACAGGAATTTGGGGACAGGAATTTGGGAATGAGTTTTTTGGGGACAGGAATTTGGGATCGGGATTCTGAGGACAGGAATTTGGGAATGGGAATTTGGCATCAGGAATTTGGGAACGAGATTTTGGGGACAGGATTTGGGGTCAGGATATCCTGGTTAATTCACTTTAATTTGCATATTTAATTAGCATCCCTTCCCGGATTTCACCTCTCTTTATAATAGATATAATAGAATTAGTATCTGCTAATATGCTAATTATTACAGCATAATTAGCATATTTAGTCAACATATCCCATTGCCTTGGCTGAATAATTTGCATATTTAATTAGCATGTCTTCTCTGGTTTCACCTCCCCTAATTAGAGAACAATTAGCATATTTAATAAACATAGCCCCTTCCCGTGGCTGAATAATTTGCTGTCTAATTAACATATCTAATATCTAATTATCATAATTAATAGTATATATTTGCTCTCTAATTAGCATATCTGATTCCCATGGCTGAATAATTTCCTCTCTAATTAATATATCTAATATAATATCTGATATCTAATTAATATAATTAATAAACCATCTTTGCTTTCTAACTAATACTATATTTACTCTCTAATTAATATATCCCATTCCGTGGCTGAATAATTTGTTAATTAATATATCTAATATAATAACTAATATCTAATATAATTAATAAATTATGTTTTCTCTTTAATTAATACTATATTTGCTCTCTAATTAATGTATCCCATTCCCGTGGCTGAATAATTTGATCTCGAATTAATATAGCTAATATAATATCTGACATCTTATTAATATAATTAATAAACTATATTTGCTCTCTAATTAATATATCCAATTCCCGTGGCTGAATAATTTGCTCTCTAATTAATACATCTAATATAATATCTGATATCTAATTAATAGAATTAATAAAATATATTTGCTTTTTCATTAATATTATATTTGCTTTCCAATTAGTGCATCTCATTCCCGTGACTGAATAATTTGCTCTCTAATTAAAATATCTAATATCTAATTAATATAATTAATAAAATACCTTTCCTCGCTAATGATTATTATATTTGCTTTCTAATTAATATATCCCCTTCCCTGAATAATTTGCTCTCAAATTAATATATCAGCTATAATATCTAATACCTAATTAATATAATTAATAAATTATATTTTATCTTTCATGAATAAAATATATTTGCTCTCCTAATTAATATATCCCATTCCCATGGCTGAATAATTTGCATCTTTAATTAGCACCCCTCTTCTGATTTCACCTCCCATAATTAGAGAACAATTAGCGTATTTAATTAATATATCCCATTCCCATGGCTGAATAATTTGCATCTTTAATTAGCACCCCTCTCCTGATTTCACCTCCCATAATTAGAGAACAATTAGCGTATTTAATTAATAGATCCCATTCCCACGGCTGAATAATTTGCTCTCTAATTAATATATCTAATATAATATCTGATACCTAATTAATATAATTAATAAAACATATTTGCTCACTAATTAGCATATCTCATATATTATCTAATATCTAATTATAAAATAAAAAATATATATTAAATAAATTTCTTTTATTAAAGAGAAAATATAATTTATTAACTCTATTTTCTCTTTAATAAATAAAATATATGTGCTCTCTAATTAATATATCCCATTCCCATGGCTGAATAATTTGCATCTTTAATTAGCATCTCTCTCCTGATTTCACCTCCTATAATTAGAGAACAATTAGTGTATTTAATTAATATCCCATTCCCATGGCTGAATAATTTGGTCTCTAATTAATATAGCTAATACAATATCTGATATCTAATTAATAGAATTAATAAAACATATTTGCTCACTAATTAACATATCTAATATATTATCTAATACCTAATTATAAAATTTAAAAATTATATATTAAATAAATTTCATTTATTAAAGAGAAAATATCATTTATTAATTCTATTTTCTCTTTAATAAATAAAATATATTTGCTCTCAAATTAATATATCTAATAGAATATCTAATACCTAATTAATATAATCAATAAATTATATTTTCTCTTTAATGAATAAAATATATTTGCTGTCTCATCAATATATCCCATTCCCATGGCTGAATAATTTGCTCTCTAATTAATGAATCCCATTCCCTTGGCTGAATAATTTGCATTTTTAATTAGCATCCCTCTCCTGATTTCACCTCCCATAACTAGAGAATAATTAGCCTATTTAATTAATATATCCAATTCCCATGGCCGAATAATTTCTTCTCTAATTAATATATCTAATTAATATAATTATTAAAACATATTTGCTGACTAATTAACATATCTAATATGTTATCAAATACCTAATTATGAAATAGAAAAATATATATTTTATTTATTAAAATATATTTGCTCTCTAATTAATATATCCCATTCCCATGGCTGAATAATTTGCATCTTTAATTAGCATCCCTCTCCTGATTTCACCTCCCATAATTAGAGAACAATTAGCATATTTAATTAATAGATCCCATTCCCATGGCTGAATAATTTGCTCTCTAATTAATATAGCTAATACAATATCTGATATCTAATTAATAGAATCAATAAAACATATTTGTTCTCTAATTAATGCTATATTTGCTCTCAAATTAATGTATCTAATAGAATATCTAATACCTAATTATTTTAATTAATAAAATATCTTTGCTCTCTAATTAATAATATATTTGCTCTCTAATTAACATATCCCATTCCCTTGGCTGAATAATTTGCATCTTTAATTAGCACCCCTCTCCTGATTTCACCTCCCATAATTAGAGAACAATTAGCCCATTTAATTAATAGATCCCATTCCCATGGCTGAATAATTTCCTCTCTAATTAATATAGCTAATATAATATCTGATACCTAATTAATATAATTAATAAAACATATTTGCTCACTAATTAACATTTCTAATATGTTATCAAATACCTAATTATGAAATAGAAAAATATATATTTTATTTATTAAAGAGAAAATATAATTTATTAATTCTATTTTCTCTTTAATGAATAAAATATATTTGCTCTCTAATTAATATATCCCATTCCCTTGGCTGAATAATTTGCATCTTTAATTAGCATCCCTCTCCTGATTTCACCTCCCATAATTAGAGAACAATTAGCCTATTTAATTAATATCCCATTCCCATGGCTGAATAATTTCCTCTCTAATTAATATAGCTAATATAATATCTGATGATACCTAATTAATATAATTAATAAAAAACATATTTGCTCACTAATTAACATATCTAATATGTTATCAAATACCTAATTATGAAATAGAAAAATATATATTTTATTTATTAAAGAGAAAATAGAATGTATTAATTATATTTTCTCTTTAATAAATAAAATATATTTGCTGTCTAATTAATGAATCCCATTTCCTTGGCTGAATAATTTGCATCTTTAATTAGCATCCCTCTCCTGATTTCACCTCCCATAATTAGAGAACAATTAGCCTATTTAATTAATATATCCCATTCCCATGGCTGAATAATTTGCTCTCTAATTAATATAGCTAATATATATATATAATATATATAATTAATATAGATATAATTAATTATATATATAATTAATAGAATTAATAAAATATATTTGTTCTCTAATTAATGCTATATTTGCTCTCAAATTAATATATCTAATAGAATATCTAATACCTAATTAATATAATCAATAAATCATATTTTCTATTTAATGAATAAAATATATTTGCTCTCCTAATTAATATATCCCATTCCCTTGGCTGAATAATTTGCATCTTTAATTAATATAGCTAATATATATATAATATATATATAATTAATATATATATATATATAATTAATATCTGATACCTAATTAATAGAATCAATAAAACATATTTGTTCTCTAATGCTATATTCGCTCTCAAATTAATATATCAAATATAATATCTAATACCTAATTAAAATAATTAATAAATTATATTTTCTCTTTTATGAATAAAACATATTTGCTCTCCTAATTAATATATCCCATTCCCATGACTGAATAATTTGCATCTTTAATTAGCATCCCTCTCCTGATTTCACCTCCTATAATTAGAGAACAATTAACCTATTTAATTAATATATCCCATTCCCATGGCTGAATAATTTGCTCTCTAATTAATATAGCTAATATAATATCTGATATCTAATTAATAGGATCAATAAAACATATTTGTCCTCTAATTAATGCTATATTCACTCTCAAATTAATATATCGAATATAATATCTAATACCTAATTAATATAATTAATAAATTATATTTTCTCTTTAATGAATAAAATATATTTGCTCTCTAATTAATGAATCCCATTGCCACGGCTGAATAATTTGCATCTTTAATAATCACAACTAATTAACTCTGGAATTAGCTGCCTAATCACCATTACCAACACTAATTAACCCCGATTAATTAACGAGAAAACAAAACGCCGTGGATCCCAACTGGGGGATCTTTCCAGTTAAAAACTCCGGGAAAAGGGCGGGAAGCTCATCCCGAGGCGCGGATTTCGGGATTTCGGGATTTGGGGATTTTGGGATTTGGGGATTTCGGGATTTGGGAGGCTCCGGAATAACCCCGGGGATTATCGGGATCCGCCCTTCCCTATTTTTAGAGCCGTGAGAGGATCAGCGGGATCAGGATTCCGTCGCCTCGGCCGCGATTCCGACGCTCGGCCCTTTTCCTGCCCGGAGAGGCCGGGGTGAGTTGGGAATTCCGGGAATTTTTTTGGGATTTCCCCCACCCCAACCCCATTCCTGATCCGTGGGTTTGGGGTGGGGAAATATCGGGAATGTTGGCGGGGGGTGGGGGGGGTTAATCCGTGTGTGGATCCTTGGGAACGGTTGGAACAGGATCGGGAATGTTGGGAGGGGCCGAATCCATGAATTTTTTCCTGGGAATGGCTGGAATGGGATGGGGAATTTTTTTCCTGGATAATTGGGAATGGCTGGAATTGGATGGGGCATTGTGATGGGGGTCTGATCCATGAATTCTGAATCCTTGGGAATGGCTGGGATGGGATAGGGAATTTTTAGGGAGTCTAATCCATGTCCTGAATCCTTGGGAATGGTTGGAATGGGATTGGGAATTTTGAGGGGGGTTCATCCATGAATCCTGAATCTTTGGGAATGGCTGCAATGGGATTTGGATTTTTGAGGGAGTCTGATCCATGAATTCTGAATGCTTGGGAATGGCTGGAATGGGATTGGGAATTTTGAGGGGAGTTTATCCATGAAGCCTGAATCTTTGGGAATTGCTGGAATGGGATTTGGAATTTTGAGGGGGTCTGATCCATGAATCCTGAATCCTTGGGAATGGCTGGAATGGGATGGGGAATTTTTAGGGAGTCTAATCCATGTCCTGAATCCTTGGGAATGACTGGAATGGGATTGGGAATTTTGAGGGGAGTTTATCCATTAATCCTGAATTTTTGGGAATGGCTGGAATGGGATGGGGAATTTTGAGGGGGTCTGATCCATGAATTCTGAATCCTTGGGAATGGCTGGAATGGGATTTGGAATATTGAGGGGTTTAATCCATGTTCTTTTTTTTGTTGGGAATGCCTGGAATGGGATAGGGAATTTTGAGGGAGTCTAATCCATGTCCTGAATCCTTGGGAATGGCTGGAATGGGATGTGGAATTTTGAGGGGGTCTGATCCATGAATTCTGAATCCTTGGGAATGCTGGAGTGGGATTGGGAATTTTGAGCTAATATAATCCATGTATTTTTTTCCTGGGAATGGCTGGAATGGGATGGGGATTTTGAGGGGGTCTGATCCATGAATTCTGAATCCTTGGGAATGGCTGGAATGGGATTGGGAATTTTGACGGGGGTCTCATCCATGAATCCTGAATTTTTGGGAATGGCTGGGATGGGATTTGGAATTTTGAGCTAATATAATCCATGTATTTTTTTCCTGGGAATTGCTGGAATGGGATGGGGATTTTTTTTCCTGAATAATTGGGAATGGCTGGAATGGGACTGGGAATTTTGAGGGCTTTAATCCATGTTCTTTTTTTTGTTGGGAATGGCTGGAATGGGATGGGGAATTTTTAGGGAGTCTAATCCATGTCCTGAATAATTGGGAATGGCTGGAATGGGATTGGGAATTTTGAGGGGGGTTTATCCGTGAATTCTGAATCCTTGGGAATGGCTGGGATGGGATGGGGAATTTTGAGGGGGTCTAATCCATGTCCTGAATAATTGGGAATGGCTGGAATGGGATTGGGAATTTTGAGGGGGTCTGATCCATGAATCCTGAATTTTTGGGAATGGCTGGAATGGGATTGGGAATTTTGAGCTAATATAATCCATGTATTTTTTTCCTGGGAATGGCTGGAATGGGATTGGGAATTTTGATGGGGGTCTGATCCATGAATTCTGAATCCTTGGGAATGGTTGGAATGGGATTGGGAACTTTGAGGGGGGTTTATCCATGAATCCTGAATTTTTGGGAATGGCTGGAATGGGATAGGAAATTTTGAGGGGGTTGATCCATGTATTTTTTTCCTGGGAATGGCTGGAACAGGATGGGGAATTTTGAGGGGTTTAATCCCTGTTCTTTTTTTTTTTTGTTGGGAATGGCTGGAATGGGATAGGGAATTTTTAGGGAGTTTAATCCATGTCCTGAATCCTTGGGAATGGCTGGAATGGGATTGGGAATTTTGACGAGGGTCTCATCTGTGAATTCTGGATCCTTGGGAATGGCTGGAATGGGATTTGGAATTTTGAGGGGTTTAATCCTTGGGAATGGCTGGAACAGGATTGGGAATTTTGAGGGGGGTTTATCCATGAATCCTGAATTTTTGGTAATGGCTGGAATGGGATTGGGAATTTTGAGGGGGTCTGATCCATGAAATCTGGATCCTTGGGAATGGCTGGAATGGGATTGGGAATTTTGAGGGGGTCTCATCCATGAATCCTGAATTTTTGGGAATGGCTGGGATGGGATGGGGAATTTTGAGCTAATATAATCCATGTATTTTTTTTCCTGGGAATGGCTGGAATGGGATGGGGAATTTTTTTCCTGAATAATTGGGAATGGCTGGAACGGAATGGGGAATTTTGAAGGGTTTAATCCATGTTCTTTTTTTTTTTGTTGGGAATGGCTGGAATGGGATAGGGAATTTTTAGGGAGTCTAATCCATGTCCTGAATAATTGGGAATGGCTGAAATTGGATGAGGAATTTTGATGGGGGTCTGATCCATGAATTCTGAATCTTTGGGAATGGCTGGAATGGGATTTGGAATTTTGAGGGGGTCTGATCCATGTATTTTTTTCCTGGGAATGGCTGGAATGGGACTGGGAATTTTGGGAGGGGTCTGATCCATGTCCTGAATAATTGGGAATGGCTGGAATGGGATTGGGAATTTTGACGGGGGTCTGATCCATGAATCCTGAATTTTTGGGAATGGCTGGAATGGGACTGGGAATGTTGGGAGGGGTCTGATCCATGTCCTGAATAATTGGGAATGGCTGGAATGGGATTGGGAATTTTTAGGGAGTCTAATCCATGTCCGGAATCCTTGGGAATGGCTGGAATGGGATTGGGAATTTTGAGGGGGTCTGATCCATGAATTCTGAATCCTTGGGAATGCTGGAGTGGGATTGGGAATTTTGAGATAATATAATCCATGTATTTTTTTTCCTGGGAATGTCTGGAATGGGATGGGGAATTTTTTTCCTGAATAATTGGGAATGGCTGGAATGGGATGGGGAATTTTTAGGGAGTCTAATCCATGTCCTGAATCCTTGGGAATGGCTGGAATGGGATGGGGAATTTTGAGGGGTTTAATCCATGTTCTTCTTTTTGTTGGGAATGGCTGGAATGGGATAGGGAATTTTTAGGGAGTCTAATCCATGTCCTGAATAATTGGGAATGGCTGGAATGGGATGTGGAATTTTGAGGGGGGTTTATCCATGAATTCTGAATCTTTGGGAATGGCTGGGATGGGATAGGGAATTTTTAGGGAGTCTAATCCATGTGCTGAATCCTTGGGAATGGCTGGAATGGGATTTCTAATTTTGAGGGGGTCTGATCCATGTATTTTTTTCCTGGGAATGGCTGGAATGGGACTGGGAATTTTGAGGGGGGTTTATCCATGAATCCTGAATTTTTGGGAATGGCTGGAATGGGATTTGGAATATTGGGGGGTTTAATCCATGTCCTTTTTCGTTGGGAATGGCTGGAATGGGATAGGGAATTTTGAGGGAGTCTGATCCATGAATTCTGAATCCTTGGGAATAACTGGAATGGGATTGGGAATTATGAGGGGGGTTCACCCATGAATCCTGAATTTTTGGGAATGCTGGAGTGGGATTGGGAATTTTGAGCTAATATAATCCATGTATTTTTTTCCTGGGAATGGCTGGAATGGGACGGGGAATTTTTTTCCTGAATAATTGGGAATGGCTGCAATGGGATTGGGAATTTTGAGGGGGGTTTATCCATGAATTCTGAATCTTTGGGAATGGCTGGAATGGGATGGGAATTATGAGGGGTTTAATCCTTGGGAATGGCTGGAATGGGATTTGCAATTTTGAGGGGGTCTGATCCATGAATTCTGAATCCTTGGGAATGGCTGGGATGGGTTAGGGAATTTTTAGGGAGTCTAATCCATGTCCTGAATAATTGGGAATGGCTGGAATGGGATGGGGAATTTTGAGGAGGGTTTAATCCATGAATCCTGGATCTTTGGGAATGACTGGAATGGGATGTGGAATTTTGAGAGGGGTTTAATCCATGTTCTTTTTTTTTTCTTGGGAATGGCTGGAATGGGATTTGGAATTTTGAGGGGGTCTGATCCATGAATCCTGGATCCTTGGGAATGGCTGGAATGGGATTGGGAATTTTGACGGGGGTCTGATCCATGAATCCTGAATTTTTGGGAATGGCTGGAATGGGATTGGGAATTTTGAGGGGGGTTTATCCATGAATCCTGGATCCTTGGGAATGCTGGAGTGGGATTGGGAATTTTGAGCTAATATAATCCATGTATTTTTTTTCCTGGGAGTGGCTGGAATGGGATGGGGAATTTTGAGGGGGTCTGATCCATGAATCCTGAATTTTTGGGAATGGCTGGAATGGGATGGGGAATTTTGAGGGGGTCTGATCCATGAATCCTGAATCCTTGGGAATGTCTGGAATGGGATTGGGAATTTTAAGGGCTCTGATCCATGTATTTTTTTCCTGGGAATGGCTGGAATGGGATTTGGAATATTGAGGGGGTCTGATCCATGTATTTTTTTCCTGGGAATGGCTGGAATGGGATGGGGAATTTTGAGGGGGGTTTATCCATGAATCTGGAATTCTTGGGAATTGCTGGAATGGGATTTGGAATATTGGGGGGTTTAATCCATGTCCTTTTTTGTTGGGAATGGCTGGAATGGGATTTGGAATTTTGACGGGGGTCTCATCCATGAATTCTGGATCTTTGGGAATTGCTGGAATGGGATGGGAATTATGAGGGGTTTAATCCTTGGGAATGGCTGGAATGGGATTGGGAATTTTGAGGGGGTCTGATCCATGTATTTTTTTCCTGGGAATGGCTGGAATGGGATTGGGAATTTTGAAGGGTTTAATCCATGTTCTTTTTTTTGTTATTGGGAATGGCTGGAATGGGATAGGGAATTTTTAGGGAGTCTAATCCATGTCCCGAATCCTTGGGAATGGCTGGAATGGGATTGGGAATTTTGAGGGGGTCTGATCCATGAATCCTGAATTCTTGGGAATGGCTGGAATGGGATTTGGAATTTCAAGTTGGGGGAGATCAAGTCTAATCCCTGCCCAGAATCCTTGGGAATGGCTGGAATGGGATTTGGAATTTTGAGGGGGGTCTAATCCATGTCTTTTTTTTCCTGGGAATGGTTGGAATGGGATGGGGAATTTTGAGGGGGGTTTAATCCATGAATCCTGGATCCTTGGGAATGGCTGGAATGGGATTGGGAATTTTTAGGGGGGTTTATCCGTGAATTCTGAATCCTTGGGAATAACTGGAATGGGATTGGGAATTTTGAGGGGGGTTTATCCATGAATCCTGAATTTTTGGGAATGGCTGGAATGGGATTTGGAATTTTGAGGGGGTCTGATCCATGTATTTTTTTTCCTGGGAATGGCTGGAATGGGATGGGGAATTTTTTTCCTGAATCCTTGGGAATGGCTGGAATGGGACTGGGAATTTTGAGGGGGGTTTATCCATGAATCCTGGATCCTTGGGAATGCTGGAGTGGGATTGGGAATTTTGAGCTAATATAATCCATGTATTTTTTTTCCTGGGAATGGCTGGAATGGGATGGGGAATTTTTTTCCTGAATCTCTGGGAATGGCTGGAATGGGACTGGGAATTTTGAGGGGTTTAATCCATGTTCTTTTTTTTGTTGGGAATGGCTGGAATGGGATAGGGAATTTTTAGGGAGTCTAATCCATGAATCCTGAATCCTTGGGAATGGCTGGAATGGGATTTGGAATATTGGGGGGGGTTTAATCCATGAATCCTGAATCCTTGGGAATGGCTGGAATGGGATTGGGAATTTTGAGGGGGTCTGATCCATGAATCCTGGATCATTGGGAATGGCTGGAGTGGGATTGGGAATTTTGAGCTAATATAATCCATGTATTTTTTTCCTGGGAATGGCTGGAATGGGATTGGGAATTTCGAGGGGGGTCTGATCCATGAATCCTGAATTTTTGGGAATGCTGGAGTGGGATTTGGAATTTTGAGCTAATATAATCCATGTATTTTTTTCCTGGGAATGTCTGGAATGGGACGGGGAATTTTTTTCCTGGATCCTTGGGAATGGCTGGAATGGGATGGGAAATTTTGAGAGGGGTTTAATCCATGTTCTTCTTTTTGTTGGGAATGCCTGGAATGGGATAGGGAATTTTTAGGGAGTCTAATCCATGTCCTGAATCCTTGGGAATGACTGGAATGGGATTGGGAATTTTGAGGGGGTCTCATCCACGAATTCTGAATCCTTGGGAATACCTGGAATGGAATTGGGAATTTTGAGGGGGGTTTATCCATTAATCCTGAATTTTTGGGAATGGCTGGAATGGGATGTGGAATTTTGAGGGGGGTCTCATCCATGAATCCTGGATCCTTGGGAATGGCTGGAATGGGATGTGGAATTTTGAGGGGGTCTGATCCATGTATTTTTTTCCTGGGAATGGCTGGAATGGGACTGGGAATTTTGGGAGGGGTCTGATCCATGTCCTGAATAATTGGGAATGGCTGGAATGGGATGGGGAATTTTGAGGGAGTCTGATCCATGAATCTTGAATCTTTGGGAATTGCTGGAATGGGATTTGGAATTTTGAGGGGGTCTGATCCATGTATTTTTTTCCTGGGAATGGCTGGAATGGGATGGGCAATTTTGAGGGATTTAATCCATGTTCATTTTTTTGTTGGGAATGCCTGGAATGGTATAGGGAATTTTTAGGGAGTCTAATCCATGTCCTGAATAATTGGGAATGGCTGGAATGGGATTGGGAATTTAAAGTGGGGGGAGATCAAGTCTAATCCCTGCCCAGAATCCTTGGGAATGGCTGGAATGGGATGTGGAATTTTTAGGGGGTCTAATCCATGTCTTTTTTTTCCTGGGAATGGCTGGAATGGGATATGGAATGTTGGGAGGGGTCTGAACCATGCCTTGAATCCTTGGGAATGCTTGAAAGGATCCAGGAATTTTGGGAGGACCTTCTCAAGCTGCTCCCAAAAAACTTTCCATCATCCATCTCCTTGCTCCGATTCCCATTCCCAGGAAACGCCGGAACGCCGGGATACCCAGTCCGGGGGAGCCGTCTCCTTCCCTCACCTCATCCCGAGCAGCCGGAATTCCGGAATTCCCGAGAATTCCCTCACCTCATCCCAACTTCCACACCCTCCAAGCCGCTCCGGAGGGAAGGAATTCCATCCCACGGATCCGTAAAAGAGCGGAAGATCCCAACTGATCCCAGCTTGGAATTCTCTGTGCCGATCCCGTAAATCCGCATTTCCCCGGAGTCGACACCATGGAATTCCACCCGGGAAAAGCGGGAATCCTCTCCCTCCTGCTGGTGGCCGCGCTGAGCCGCCGGTCGCTGGAGAAATCCCTTCCCGCGGAATTCCGGGAGCAGGAGGATCCCCGGGAATCGCCGGGATTGATCCGGTGTGGGGAATACAGCAACCAGGTGCTGCCGGACGGGCGGTGCCGCGTGGTGGCCACGCTGCCGCAGGGCGACGAGCGGCGCTGCCCCGACCTGTTCCGCTGCACCGACGAGGTCTCCTTCTGGCTCCACGAGAACGAGGAGCGCAAGCAGCAGATCCTGGAGCTCCGGGAATCCATCGCCGAGCTCCAGGAGGAGCTACGGAACCACCGGCACCGCCTCAAAGCCCTGGAGATCCAGGTGGGAAAAGTGGAGTCCAAAGGTTTGGTTTGGTTTTTATTCTGAGAGTTCGAGCTCCTGGAATTACGTAGGGTTGGACCTCGCATTCCATGGATGATTCCTTCTTCAAAATCAATCTCAAATCCTTGCGTTTCACCCATGGAACCTCCTCCACCATTTTGGGGATCCATGCCATTCCCAAAGCCCTGGAGATCCAGGTGGGAAAAGTGGAGTCCGTGGGTTTGGTTTTCTTGTTTTTCCAGCTGCGGGAATTTGGCAGGGTTGGAGCTCGCATTCCATGGATGATTCCTTCAAAATCAATCCAAATCCTTGAGTTTCATCCATGGAACCTCCTCCACCTTTTTAAGGACTGGAGATCCATCCCGTTCCCAAAGCCCTGGAGATCCAGGTGGGAAAAGTGGAGTCTGTGGGGTTGGTTTGGTTTTTATTCCATGGGAGGTTCCAGTTCCTGGAATATGGCAGGGTTGGAGCTCGCATTCCATGGATGATTCCTTCAAAACTGATCCCAGATCCTTGAGTTTCACCCATGGAACCTCCTCCACCTTCTTAAGGACTGGAGATCCATCCCATTCCCAAAGCCCTGGAGATCCAGGTGGGAAAAGTGGAGTCTGTGGATTTGGTTTCGTTTTTATTCCATGGGAGGTTCCAGTTCCTGGAATTTGGTGGGGTTGGAGCTCGCATTCCATGGATGATTTCCTCAAAATCGATCCCAGATCCTTGAGTTTCACCCATGGAATCTCCTCCACCATTTTGGGAAGGGCTGTGGATCCATCCCATTCCAAGATGGTTTCCCACACCACACCTGGATTTCCGCCCATGCCGAGGATCAGGAGCCTTCCATGGATGATTTCTTCATAATGAATCCAAAATCCCAGAGTTTTATCCATGGAACCTCATCCACCTTTTTAAGGACTGGAGATCCATGCCATTCCCAAAGCCCTGGAGATCCAGGTGGGAAAAGTGGAGTCCGTGGGTTTGGTTTGGTTTTTATTCCATGGGAGGTTCCAGTTCCTGGAATTTGGCGGGGTTGGAACTCGCATTCCATGGATGATTCCTTCAAAATCAATCCCAAATCCTTGAGTTTCATCCATGGAATCTCCTCCACTTTCTTAAGGACTGGAGATCCATCCCATTCCCAAAGCCCTGGAGATCCAGGTGGGAAAAGTGGAGTCCGTGGGTTTGGTTTTCTTGTTTTTCCATGGGGATTGCAGCTGCTGGAATTTGGCAGGGTTGGAGATCGCATTCCATGGATGATTCCTTCAAAACCAATCCCAAATCCTTGAGTTTCATCCATGGAACCTCCTCCACCTTCTTAAGGACTGGAGATCCATCCCATTCCCAAAGCCCTGGAGATCCATATAAAAATGTCCATGGAATTTATTCCACGGGCACTTTCAGCTCCTGGAATTTGGCAGGATAGGAACTTGGATCAGGAACATTCCAGGGATAACATCCCCAAAATGAATCCCAAATCCTTGAGTTTCATCCATGGAATCTCCTCCACCATTTTAAATCTTGGGGATCCATCCCATTCCCAAAGCCCTGCAGATCCATGTAAAAATGTCCATGGAATTTATTCCACGGGCACTTTCAGCTCCTGGAATTCCGCAAGGCAGGAACTGGGATCAGGAGCATTCCAGGGATAATTCCCTCAGCATCAATCCCAAATCCTTGAGTTTCATCCATGGAATCTCCTCCACCATTTATGGAAGGTCTGCAGATCCATGTAAAAATATCCATGGAATTTATTCCATGGGTGCCTCCAGCTCCTGGAATTCGGCAGGGATTTGGATCAGGAACATTCCATGGATAATTTCCCCACCATGAATTCCAAATCCTGGAGTTTCATCCATGGAATCTCCACCTTTGATCCCGGTGGGATCGGCGTGTCCGTCCCCTGGAATTCGCTCTGGGAATCTCCTGCCACCTTCACCCTGGATTTTGCACAGGATCAGAGCCGGGATTTCCTGGAAAAAAAGGAGGGAAAAGGGATGTAAATGTTCCTTTAGGACTGGAATTGTCAGGATGAGGAGAGCACGGAGCGAGGCCAGAGCTGGGAATGTTCACCGGGATCAGGGAAGGATCCAGGGAATCCTTGGAGCCACTTCCCGATCCCAAAGGGGCTCCAGGAGAGCTGGAATTTGGGGAAGGGCTGGAGGGGCAGAGCCAGGGAATGGAATTCCCAGTGGGAAAGGGGAGCTTGGGAGTTTGGGATCATGGAAAGGAATTCCCGGCCGGGCTGGAATTCCCAGAGAATCCCTGGATCCCTGACAGTGCCCAAGGGTGGATTTGGATCACCCCGGGATCATGGGAAGTGTCCCTGGGGTGGGATTGGAGATCCATGGATCCCATCCCAAACCATTCCGGGATTCTGGGATCGAGGACACTCAGGATCCATCCCGAGGGATTTTTATGGAATTTGGGGATGGAAAAGGGAAGGGAGACCCTTCCTGGAGTCCCAAATTCCCAGTGAAGCCCCTGGATCCCAAAATTCCTTCTCCAGGAGGGAATGGGGATGGATCCACTGCCAGGCTGGGAGACCCGGGAATGTTCCCCTGGATTGGGGAAGGATCCAGGGAATCCTTGGAGCCGCTTCCCGATCCCAAAGGGGCTCCAGGGGAGCTGGAATTTGGGGAAGGGCTGGAGGGGCAGGAGCCAGGGAATGGAATTCCCAGTGGGAAAGGGGAGCTTGGGATTTTGGGATCTGGGGCAGGAATTCCCGGCTGGGCTGGAATTCCCAGAGAATCCCTAGGAATGTCCAAGGGTGGATTTGGATCACCCTGGGATCATGGGAAGTGTCCCTGGGATGGGATGGAAGGTCCATGGATCCCATCCCAAGCCATTCCGGGATTCTGGGATCGAGGACACTCAGGATCCATCCCGAGGGATTTTTATGGAATTCGGGGATGGAAAAGGGAAGGGAGACCCTTCCTGGAGTCCCAAATTCCCAGTGAAGCCCCTGGATCCCAAAATTCCTTCTCCAGGAGGAATCGGGGTGGGGATGGATCCACTGCCAGGCTGGGAGAGCCGGGAATGTTCCCCTGGATCAGGGAAGGATCCAGGGAATCCTTGGAGCCGCTTCCCGATCCCAAAGGAGCTCCAGGAGAGCTGGAATTTGGGGAAGGGCTGGAGGGGCAGGAGCCAGAGAATGGAATTCCCAGTGGGAAAGGGGAGCTTGGGATTTTGGGATCTTGGGCAGGAATTCCCGGCTGGGCTGGAATTCCCAGAGAAACCGCGGCCTCTGCTGGATCCTTGGGAATTTCCATGGAAAACCTGGATCACCCTGGGCTGGCGGGAGCCGTCCCTACCCATGGGAACGTTCCACGCTGGAACATCATGATGCCAAAAAAGTTTGGAAAGAATTCCCACATTCCCAACCCGCTGTTGGCAGAATCCCGGGATCGTCTCGTTGGTGAGATCTCCCAGATGAATTCCAACCAAAATTCTTCTCCCCAAATCCCATTTTTTTGGTTTTTTTGGGTTTTTTTTTGCAGCGGGATGAGGAGGAGGGTCGGAACCGGAGCGTGATCCGGCGGCTGCAGGAGCTGGAGCAGCATTCCCGGGAATCCGGCACGCTGGCGCACGTCCAGGCCGCGCTGCTCTACGAGCTCCAGGCCCAACTCAACAACGTCTCCTCCGCCATGGCCGAGGGCGCCTGGAGGAGCCGCGGCTGCGCCCGCCCCGCGCAGCTCCGCCACCCAGGTGGGAGCGATGAAAAAAACCAAAATTTACGGGTTTTATCGCAAAAAAAATCAGTTTTTCTGGTTAAAAATACGCAAAAAATTCCTGAAAATTTGGTGGTTTTATCATAAAAAAATTCATTTTTTTCACTAAAAAGTTCATGGAAATTTGGAGGTTTTATCGCAAAAAAATGCGTTTTTTCCAGTGAAAAATTCCTGAAAATTCAGAGGTTTTACCAGAAAAAAATTAATTTTTCCCGCTTAAAAAGACGTGAAAAATTCCTGAAAATTTGGAGGTTTTATCACAAAAATATTCTTTTTTTTCTCTTAAAAACACGCCAAAAATTCCTGAAAATTCAGAGGTTTTACCATAAAAAAATTCATTTTTTCTGCTAAAAAATTCCCAAAAATTTGGAGGTTTTACCGTAAAAAAATTAATTTTTCCCGCTTGAAAACACATAAAAGATTCCCAAAAATTTGGAGGTTTTACCACAAAAAAATTCATTTTTTTGCTTAAGAACCCACAAAAAATTCACAAAAATTCGGAGGTTTTACCACAAAAAAAATTCATTTTTTTCTGGTTAAAAACACAGGAAAAATTCCTGAAAATTTGGAGGTTTTACCGCAAAAAAATTAATTCATTTTTTCCGCTAAAAAATTCCCAAAAATTTTGAGGTTTTACCGTAAAAAAATTCATTTTTTCCACTAAAAAATTCCTGAAAATTCAGAGGTTTGATCATCAAAAAATTCATTTTTTCTGCTAAAAAATTCCTGAAAATTCGGAGGTTTGATCATCAAAAAATTCATTTTTTCTGCTTAAAAATTCCTGAAACTTTGGAGGTTTTACCATTAAAAAATTCTTTTTTTTCACTAAAATTTACCAAAAATTTGGAGGTTATACCATAAAAAAATTTATTTTTTTCCACTAAAGAAACAGAAAGATTCCTGAAAATTTGGTGGTTTTACCGCAAAAAAGATTCTTTTTTTACGCTAAAAATTCCCAGAAATTTGGAGGTTTTACCATAAAAAAATTTGGTTTTTTCACTAAAATTTCCCAAAAATTTGGAGGTTTTACCATAAAAGAATTCATTTTTTTCACTAAAAAATTCCTGAAAATTTGGAGGTTTTGCCATAAAAAAAGTCATTTTTTCCACTAAAAAATTCCTGAAAATTCGGAGGTTTGATCATCAAAAAATTCATTTTTCCTGCTTAAAAATTCCTGAAACTTTGGAGGTTTTACCATAAAAAATTTCATTTTTTCCACTAAAAAATTCCCAAAAATTTGGAGGTTTTACCATAAAAAAATTTATTTTTTCCAATTAAGAACCCACAAAAAATTCCCCAAAATTTGGAGGTTTTACCGCAAAAAAAATTCATTTTTTACGCTAAAAATTCCCAAAAATTTGCAGGTTTTACCACAAAAAAATTCATTTTTTCTGTGTAAGAACCACCAAAAAAATCATGCAAATTTGGAGATTTTACCACAAAAAAATTAATTTTTTCCACTTAAGAACTCACAAAAAATTCCAAACAATTCGGAAGTTTTACCATAAAAAATTTCATTTTTCCACTAAAAAATTCCCAAAAATTCAGAGGTTTAATAACAAAAAATTTTTTGCCACTTAAAAACACGCCAAAAATTCCTGAAAATTCGGAGGTTTTACCATAAAAGAATTCATTTTTTCCACTAAAAAATTCCTGAAAATTTGGAGGTTTTACCGTAAAAAAATTCATTTTTCCCACATGAAAACACATGAAAAATTCCAGAAAATTTGGAGGTTTTACTGTAAAAAAATTCATTTTTTCTGCTTAAGAACCCACAAAAAATTCACGAAAATTCGGAGGTTTTACCATAAAAAAATTTATTTTTTCAACTTAAGAACTCACAAAAAATTCCCCAAAATTTGGAGGTTTTACCATAAAAAAATTCATTTTTTCCACTAAAAAATTCCCAAAAATTTTGAGGTTTTACCATTAAAAAATTCTTTTTTTTTCCGCTTCAAACCACACGAAAAATTCCCAAAAATTTGGAGGTTTTACCACAAAAAAATTCATTTTTTCTGCGTAAGAACCACCAAAAAAAAATGCACACAAATTCGGAGGTTTTACCATGAAAAAATTCATTTTTTCCACTAAAAAAAATTCCTGAAAATTCAGAGGTTTTATAACACAAAATTAGGTTTTTTCTGCTTAAAAACACAAAAAATTCCCAAAAATTTGGAGGTTATACCATAAAAAAAATTCATTTTTTCCACTAAAACATTCCTGAAAATTCAGAGGTTTGATCATCAAAAAATTCATTTTTTCCGCTTAAAAATTCCTGAAACTTTGGAGGTTTTGCCATAAAAAATTTCATTTTTTCTGCTAAAAATTCCTGAAAATTTGGAGGTTATACCATAAAAAAATTTATTTTTTCCACTAAAAAATTCCTGAAAATTCAGAGGTTTTACCATAAAATAATTCATTTTTTCCACTAAAAAATTCCCAAAATTTGGAGGTTTTACCGTAAAAAAATTCATTTTTTTCACTTAAAACACACAAAAAATTCCTGAAAATTTGGAGGTTTTACCACAAAAAAATTCATTTTTACCACTAAAAAATTCCCAAAAATTCAGAGGTTTTATAACAAAAAATTTGTTTTTTCCCGCTTAAAAACACACAAAAAATTTCTGAAAATGTGGAGGTTCTACCATATATAAAATTTATTTTTTTCCACTAAAGAAACAAAAAGATTCCTGAAAATTCTGAGGTTTTACCACAAAAAAATTATTTTGTTTTGCTTAAAAACACACAAAAAAATCCCGAAAATTTGGAGGTTTTACCACAAAAAGTTTCATTTTTTCCACTAAAAAATTCCTGAAAATTTGGAGGTTTTACCACAAAAAATTCATTTTTCCCACTTGAAAACACGCAAAAAATTCCTGAAAATTCAGAGTTTTTACCACAAAAAATTCCTGAAAATTTGGAGGTTTTACCACCAAAAAACTTCTTTTTTTTCCCACTTAAAAAGCCCCTAAATTTTTTTGGGATTTCTCTGGTTTTAGGGATTTTTTTTTATTATTTATTATCTTTTGGTAAGTTTTTGGTTCTTTTTCCTTGAAATAATTTGGTATTCTCCCCAGAATAATTTCTGATTTTCCCTGGAATAATTTCTTATTTTCCCTGGAATAATTTCAGATTTTTTCCTGGAATAATTTGTGATTCTCTTCAGAATAATTTCTGATTTTCTGTGGAATATTTTCCGATTTTCCCTGGAATAATTTCGGATTCTCCTCAGAAGAATTTCTTATTTTCCCTGGAATAACTTCCAATTTTCCCTGGAATAATTTCAGATTTTTTCCTGAAATAATTTCGGATTCTGCTCAGAACAATTTCTGTTTTTCTGTGGAATAATTTCTGCTTTTCCCCAGAATAAGTTCTGCTTTTCCCTGGAATAATTTCTGCTTTTCCCCAGAACAATTCCCGATTTTCCCTGGAATAATTTCTGATTTCCCCAGAACAATTCCCGATTTTCCCTGGAATAATTTTTGATATTCCCCAGAACAATTCCCGATTTTCCCTGGAATAATTTCTGATTTCCCCAGAACAATTCCTGATTTTCCCTGGAATAATTTCTGCTTTTCCCCAGAACAATTCCCGATTTTCCCTGGAATAATTTTTGATATTCCCCAGAACAATTCCCGATTTTCCCTGGAATAATTTCTGATTTCCCCAGAACAATTCCCGATTTTCCCTGGAATAATTTCTGCTTTTCCCTGGAATAATTTCTGATTCTCCCCAGAATAATTTCTGCCTTTCCCCAGAACAATTCCCGATATTCCCTGAAATAATTTCTGCTTTTCCCAGAAATCCAACAGGGCCGGAATTGTCCCGTCGACTGCGCTTCCGTCTACTCCAACGGGCTCCGGAGATCCGGGATTTACAGCGTCGTGCCCTCGCTCCGCGGAATTCCCATCGAGGTCCTCTGCGAGATGGACACCGAAGGTCCGGAATTCCCGGGAATTCCGAGGGTTGTTGGGCGGTTGTCGGAGATCCGGGAGGGTTTGGGAATTTTGGGATGTCCTGGAGTTTGGAGCGATGATCCTGGTGGGTTTTATCCCAGTCAAAGGAGGTGTGGGGAATCCAAAATCCTGGAATTTTTTCCTGAAATCCCACCCCATTCCCATTCCAACACTTCCCACTATCCCAGGGTGCTCCAGCCATTCCTTGGATATTCCCAAGGATTCTCTGGGAATTCCAGCCCAGCCGGGAATTCCCTCCCAAGATCACAAAATCCCAAATCCTGGAATTTTTTGGTGGGAAAAGCCCTGAAATCCCATCACATTCTAATTCTTCCTTGGATATTCCCAGGGATTCTCTGGGAATTCCAGCCCAGCCGGGAATTCCTTCCCAAGATTCCAATCCAAGGATTCCCCTTTCCCAGGGAATTCCCTCCATTCCCGGCTCTCCCAGCCTGGAATTGGCTCCATCCCCATCCCGATTCCTCCTGGAGAAGGAATTTTGGGATCCAGGGGCTTCACTGGGAATTTGGGATTCCAGGAAGGGTCTCCCTTCCCTTTTCCATCCCTGAATTCCATAAAATCCCTCGGGATGGATCCTGAGTGTCCTCGATCCCAGAATCCCGGAATGGTTTGGGATGGGATCCATAGATCTTCAATCCCATCCCAGGGACTCTTCCCACGATCCCGGGGTGATCCAAACCCACCCTTGGACATTCCCAGGGATTCTCTGGGAATTCCAGCCCAGCCGGGAATTCCTGCCCCAGATCCCAAAATCCCAAGCTCCCCTTTCCCACTGGGAATTCCATTCCCTGGCTCCTGCCCCTCCATCCTTTTCTCCCAAATCCCGTTCCATCTCTCCTGGACAATTCCAGGGTTTTGAATTCCGCTTTTTCCTGGTGGATCTCTCCGGATTTTCCCTGGATTTTCCCTGGATTTTCCCTGGATTTTCCCTGGATTTTCCCCGGATTTTCCCTGGATTTTCCCTGGATTTTCCCGCTTCCCCTCCTCTCCCGGCAGGGGGTGGCTGGACCGTCATCCAGCGGCGCCAGGACGGATCCGTGGATTTCAACCGGACCTGGAACGAGTACAAGGAAGGATTTGGGGACCTGAACGGGGAATTCTGGCTGGGCAACGACAACATCCACCAGATGACGAGCCAGGGAGATTATTCCCTACGGATCGACCTGGAGGATTGGAATAACAAACACAAACACGCCTTCTACCAGGTCTTCAGGTAAAACCCGGCAGAATTCCCGGGATTTCAAACCCTCGGGAGACCCTCGGGCGGTGGGAATTCTGTCCAAGGAGGTTTCCAGGTCCATCCCAGTCTCTCCTTCCCGTCCCACCTGGATTTCATCCCAAATTTAAAGTTGGATGTGAATTAGAGTCCGTGTCCAAATTCCAAATCCGTGGGGAAAAGGAGGTGTAGGAACCCATGGATAACCCCTGGTTTATCCCTGTTTTTTTGGCTCCGTGCCCAAAATCCATGGATTTTGAGGAATTTGCCCCAAAATTCCTCAAAAGGGCTCCCGATTTTGCCTGGTTTGGATTTTTGTCCTCTCCGCTCCTTTTTTTTCCTGGTATCCTTTGGAATCTCCAGCCCTTCTCCTTGTCCCATATTTTATTTTTCCAGCCGAGTCAGCCACATCCCGGATTATTCCGGAGTGTCTGGATTGTCCCAGAGGATCCCATTCCCTGTTTTCCGTGGAAATGTGAAATGTTCAGGACTCCTAAAATCCTGGAATGCTTTGGGTGGGAAGGGACATTTCCAACCTCATCCCATTCCATGAGCACTTTCCATTATCCCAGGATGCTCCAACTTTTCCTTGGATATTCCCAGGGTTTCTCTGGGAATTCCAGCCCAGCCGGGAATTCCTTCCCCAGATCCCAAACTCCCAAGCTCCCCTTTCCCACTGGGAATTCCATTCCCTGGCTCCTGCCCCTCCAGCCCTTCCCCAAATTCCAGCTCTCCTGGAGCCCCTTTGGGGATCGGGAAGCGGCTCCAAGGATTCCCTGGATCCTTCCCCGATCCAGGCGAACATTCCCACATATCCCAGCCTGGGATTGGATCCATCCCCATCCCGATTCCTCCTGGAGAAGGAATTTTGGGATCCAGGGGCTTCACTGGGAATTCAGGATTCCAGGAAGGGTCTCCCTTCCCTTTTCCATCCCCAAATTCCATAAAAATCCCTCGGGATGGATCCTGAGCGTCCTCGATCCCAGAATCCCGGAATGGTTTGGGATGGGATCCACGGACCTCCAATCCCATCCCAGGGACACTTCCCATGATCCCGGGGTGATCCAAATCCACCCTTGGACATTTCCAGGAATCCAGGGATTCTCTGGGAATTCCAGCCCAGCCAGGAATTCCTTCCCCAGATCCCAAACTCCCAATCTCCCCTTTCCCACTGGGAATTCCATTCCCTGGCTCCTGCCCCTCCAGCCCTTCCCCAAATTCCAGCTCTCCTGGAGCCCCTTGGGGATCGGGAAGCGGCTCCAAGGATTCCCTGGATCCTATCTCTTCATCCTTGGAGCATCATCCCAAAATATTTATCTCCTTCATCGTGGTTTCCCAGATTTGCTCCACCCATTTCATCCCGAAATTCCCAAATTCCCATCCCACAGAAGTGAAGAAACCTCCTCATCCCTGACTTCCCGAGGTGATAAATCCCATTAATCAGCCGGAGCAGCCCCGCCTCCGGAAAATAAAAAATTCCCACCCAAATCTTGACCATCCCGAGGAAAAATTCCCAATTTTTTTTTTTTTCCGGACAGCATCGAGGACGAGGAAAACTTCTACCGGCTGCACGTGGAGGGGTTCAGCGGCACGGTGGAGGATTCCTTCGCCTGGTACCACGACAAGAGGAGCTTCAGCACTCCGGATTCCGGGAATATCTGCGCCGAGATTTCCCACGGAGGCTGGTGGTACCACCAGTGCTTCTTCTCCAACCTCAACGGCGTCTACTACAAGGTGAGGGACGGATTTGGGAATTCTTCTTCACCCGTCCCCACCGGGATCGGAGGGATGGACATGGAGGAAAAGCGGGAATGGGAGGAGCGAGGGCGTTACGCCTGGAATCGTGGAATTGTTGAGGGTGGGGAAGTTCTCGGAGAGAATCCAAATTTCCAGTCCTGACGCTGATCCGAGTCCTCCCAAATCCCTCAGGAATGGGAATTCTGCCCCAGCCCTGGGCTGGAAAACCCTTTCCAGGCAGGAATTATTCCCAACATTCCATAAACGTCCCCTGGAATGGCTGAAGGCCGTTCCCTCTCATTCCCAGCGAGATCATTCCCAAATTCTTGAGGTTGGTTGGAAAAGTTCTCCGAGGTCAATTCCAAGCGTTCCCGGAATTTCCAGTCCTGTCAATGATTCGTGTCCTCCCAAATCCCTCCAGGAATGGGAATTCCGCCCCAGCCCTGGGCTGGAAAACCCTTTCCAGGCCGGAATTATTCCCAATATTCCATAAACCTCCCCTGGAATGGCTGGAGGACTTTTCCTCTCATTCCCAGCGAGATCATTCCCAAATTCTTGAGGTTGGTTGGAAAAGTTCTTCGAGGTTGAATCCAAACGTTCCCAGAATTTCCAGTCCTGCCACTGATCTGAGTCCTCCCAAATCCCTCAGGAATGGGAATTCTGCCCCAGCCCTGGGCTGGAAAACCCTTTCCAGGCAGGAATTATTCCCAATATCCCATAAACCTTCCCTGGAATGGCTGAAGGCCTTTTCCTCTCAATCCCAGTAAGATCATTCCCAAATTCTTGAGGTTGGTTGGAAAAGTTCTCCGAGGTTGAATCCAAGAGAATTTCCTCTCAATCCCAGCGAAATCATTCCCAAATCCTTGAGGTTGATTGGAAAAGTTCTCCAAGGTCGATTCCAAGCGTTCCCGGAATTTCCAGTCCTGCCACTGATCCGAGTCCTCCCAAATCCACAGGGATTTAAATCCCTCCAGGAATGGGAATTCTGCCCCAGCCCTGGGCTGGAAAACCCTTTCCAGGCAGGAATTATTCCCAATATTCCATAAACCTCCCCTGGAATGGCTGGAGGCCGTTCCCTCTCATTCCCGGCGAGATCATTCCCAAATTCCTGAGGTTGGTTGGAAAAGTTCTCTGAGGTCGAATCCAAGCGTTCCCAGAATTTCCAATCCTGCCACTGATCCGTGTCCTCCCAAATCCACAGGGATTTAAATCCCTCCAGGAATGGGAATTCTGCCCCAGCCCTGGGCTGGAAAAGCCTTTCCAGGCAGGAATTATTCCCAATATTCCATAAATCTCCCCTGGAATGGCTGGAGGCCATTCCCTCTCATTCCTGGTGAGATCATTCCCAAATTCCTGAGGTTGGTTGGAAAAGTTCTCCAAGGTCAATTCCAAGCGTTCCCGGAATTTCCAGTCCTGCCACTGATCCATGTCCTCCCAAATCCACAGGGATTTAAATCCCTCAGGAATGGGAATTCTGCCCCAGCCCTGGGCTGGAAAACCCTTTCCAGGCAGGAATTATTCCCAATATCCCATAAACCTCTCCTGGAATGGCTGGAGGCCTTTTCCTCTCAATCCCAATGAGATCATTCCCAAATTCTTGAGGTTGGTTGGAAAAGTTCTCCGAGGTTGAATCCAAACATTCCCAAAATTTCCAGTCCTGCCACTGATCCGAGTCCTCCCAAATCCCTCCAGGAATGGGAATTCTGCCCCAGCCCTGGGCGGGAAAACCCTTTGGTTTGTTAATTTAATTAATGTTAATTAATTTACTTCTGTTGATTTTGTAGATTTAATATTGAAATTTTGTTTAGTAACGTTTAATGAATTTAATTTATTTTAGTTTTTCGTTAATTGTTTACGTTGGAGATTTCTCTATGAATGTGTTGATGAGTGTTTCTGGGTTTAGGGATGTTTTGTTATTATTATTATTATTATTATTATTATTATTATTATTATTATTATTATTATTATTATAGCAATAATATTATTTTCTACAATCATAATATTAATGAATATTATTAATAATACTAATAAATTATAATTATTATTACATATATAATATATTGATATATATAATATGTTATATATTCCATATTGTATATTAAAAATATATATATTATATATTATAAAAATATATTATATATTATATATTATAAAAAATATATTATATATTATATATTATATATTATATATTATATATTATATATTATATATTATATTATAAAATTATATTATATATGTAATAGAAATATAATATAATATAATATAATATAATATAATATAATATAATATAATATAATATAATATAATATAATATAATATAATATAATATAATATAATATAATATTACATTACATTACATTACATTACATTACATCATATTACTATCATTTATATTATAATATTTTCTATTATAGTATAATATTCTAATATACAATATTACATATTAGAATATTACATGTTATATAATATATAAAATATTTATATATTTATTTTATTTATTATTAATACTATTCATAAATATTATTACTAATACTATTATACTTTTAATATTATCTATTTTTATAATAATAGATAATATTGAAATTATCTATTATATGATCTATTATTATCTATCTAATATTCTGATATTCGGATTTTCTAATATTCTATTCTTCTATTATTATAATACTATATTATTATAATGTTATATTATTACATTACATTACATTACATTACATTACATTACATTACATTATATTATATTATATTATATTATATTATATTATATTATATTATATTATATTATATTATAAGATTATTATATTATTATATTCGAACATTATTATATTGCTATATTAGACCATTATTATATTATAACATTATTATATTATAATATTATTATTCATATTATTGATGATTATAATGATGATGATGATGTTTATTATTATTATTATTATTATTATTATTATTATTATTATTATTAACAACAATAATAATAATTATAATTATAATTATTATAATAATATAATAATATAATAATAACTATATTATTAATAATACTAATAATACTAATAATATTAACAATACTACTAATACTAATACTAATAGTATTACTAATACTAATACTACTAATAATATTAATACTACTACTACTACTAATAATAATAATAATAACAATACTACTACTACTACTACTACTACCACTACTACTAATTATTATTATTATTATTGTTTTGTTGTTGTTATTATTGTTTTGTTATTATTATTATTATTATTTTTATTTTTATTTTTATGTTTATTATTATTATTATTATTATTATTATTATTATTATTATTATTATTATTATTATTATTATTATTATTATTATTTATTAATTATCGTGTTTATGACCACTCCGTGCTCTCTGGTCCTGGCAGGGCGGCCGATATTCGGTGAAGAGCCGGAGGCTGCTGGGCCCGGACGGGATCGTGTGGTACTCGTGGAAGGACACGGATTACTATTCCCTGCGGAAGGTGGCCATGATGATCCGGCCCCGCGCCTTCCGGCCCCGCCTGTCCCCGTGACCCGCCGGGATCTTCGGATCCGCCCGGAATCGCGCCGGGAATCGGATCCTGGAGCGCCGAGCCAGCGGGGTTTGGGATTGGTGGGAATGGATCCCAGCGGAATCCATCCGGGAATCGATCCCGGTCCTCCAATGTGGGAGAGCTCCGGGAATGTGGAGGTGATTCCCAGGAAGGGAATGGATCCAGCTGGGATCCATCGGGAATCGATCCCGGTCCTCCAATGTGGGAGATCTCCTGGGAATGCCGAACTGATTCCTGGGAAGGGAATGGATCCAGCGGTATCCAACGGGGAATCGATCCCGCTCCTCCAGTGTGGGAGAGCTCCTGGAATGTGGAGGTGATCCCTGGGAAGGGAATGGATCCAAAGGGGAATCAATCCCAGTCCTCCAATGTGGGAGATCTCCTGAGAGTGTGGAGATGATTCTTGGGAAGGGAATGGACCCAGTCAGATCCATTGGGAAATCAATCCAAGTATTCCAATGTGGGAGATCTCCCGGGAATGTGGAGGCGATTCCTGGGAAGGGAATGGATCCAATGGGGAATCGATCCCACTCCTCCAACGTGGGAGATCTCCTGGGAATGTGGAGATGATTCCTTGGAAGGGAATGGATCCAAAGGGGAATCGATCCCGGTCCTCTAGTGTGGGAGAGCTCCGGGAATGTGGAGGTGATTCCTGGGAAGGGAATGGATCCAAGCGGGATCCAATGGGGAATTGATCCCAGTCCTCCAATGTGGGAGAGCTCCTGGAATGTGGAGGCAATTCCTGGGAAAGGAATGGATCCAATGGGGAATCGATCCCAGTCCTCCAACATGGGAGATCTCCCGGGAATGTGGAGGTGATTCCCAGGAAGGGAATGGATCCAAGCGGGATCCAAAGGGGAATCGATCACAGTCCTCCAACGTGGGAGATCTCCCGGAAATGTGGAGTTGATTCCTGGGAAGGGAATGGATCCAATGGGGAATCGATCCCGGTCCTCCAACATGGGAGATCTCCCGGGAATATGGAGATGATTCCTGGGAAGGGAATGGATCCAATGGGGGATCTATCCCAGTCCTCCAATGTGGGAGATCTCCCAGGAATGTGGAGGTGATTCCTGGGAAGGGAATGGATCCAATCAGGAATCTATCCAAGTCCTCCAACATGGGAGATCTCCCGGGAATGTGGAGATGATTCTTGGGAAGGGAATGGATCCAATGGGGAATCGATCCCAGTCCTCCAATGTGGGAGATCTCCTGGAATGTGGAGGTGATCCCTGGGAAGGGAATGGATCCAGCTGGGATCCAATGGAGAATCTATCCTGGTCCTCCAATGTGGGAGAGCTCCTGGAATGTGGAGACGATTCCTGGGAAGGGAATGGATCCAGTCAGATCCATTGGGAAATCAATCCAAGTATTCCAACGTGGGAGATCTCCTGGGAATGTGGAGATGATTCTTGGGAAGGGAATGGATCCAAAGGGGAATCGATCCCAGTCCTCCAATGTGGGAGAGCTCCTGGGAATGTGGAGGTGATTCCTGGGAAAGGAATGGATCCAATGGGGAATCAATCCCAGTCCCCCAATGTGGGAGATCTCCTGGAATGTGGAGATGATTCCTGGGAAGGGAATGGATCCAAAGGGGAATCGATCCCAGACCTCCAGCATGGGAGATCTCCTGGGAATGCCAAAGTTATTCCTGGGAAGGGAATGGATCCAATCAGGAATCGATCCAAGTCCTCTAACATGGGAGATCTCCTGGGAATGTGGAGATGATTCCTGGGACGGGCATTCCCAAGACTAAATCCGGTTGTTTGGATGCTGGGAATCGGCTCCCGGCTGATCCATGTGGATTTCCGTGGCCTCCAACCCAACGGAATTTCCCGAGTGATGCAATGGGGGAATTTTCCATGTGGGATTTGACGGAGCTGCCGCTATTCCCAAGGATTTGCATCCCGTTTCCTAAGATCCCGAAGATCCGTGACCACAGGGATGCATGGAATCCACTCTGAGGGAAGCCAGGAGATCCAATGTGCATTCCCAGGGATGGAATCGCAGGAAAACGAGGAAGGATTGAGCTCCACACCTTTGGGAATAAAAATATTCCAACGGAAAGGATTCCAAAGAAAAAAAAACAACAAAAAAAAAAATCTGGGAAGTTTTTCCATTTCTCCTTCTGTTTTCACCTTCCCGCCCTTTCTCCGGCAAAGAATTCCGGATGGATTTTCCACCCATCCTAAAAAGGGATAAGAAATGATCACATGGGATTTAAAACCCATTTTTTTTCACTGCCTTACTCTGGATAATTAGAATTTATTTGGCAAATTTGAATAATTAATTTGGATCATTAATTCAGGTGATTAATTAGGATAATTAATTTTAATATTCCATTGGTAGTTTCAGCTGGAAGCCGTCCTTTTTTCCATGGCTTTGACTTTTTCCGGGATCTGGATTTGGAAGCTGGGACTCGGCTCCACCCTCCCCGCATTTGATGATGAATATTTAATTTTATTTAATTAATATTTAATTGAACGACCAGTTTTCCCATTCCATGTTTTCTGAGGATGGAAAGTTGGATTTATCCCTTCCGACCACTCCCTTCCCACTCGGTGCTCTCCTGGTGGATTCTTCCCGATATTCCGGACTCTGTTTTCCCTGGAATGTCGTTTTTTACGGATAAATCCATCGACAAGTTGCCTTCCGAGGATCCCACAAATAAATAATTCCAAGAGAATCAACCAAAGTTTTTTGGCTCTTGGTTTTCCTTGGAAGTTTTCCAAGGGTGCGGAGTATTCCCAAGACTCTCCCGGAGGTGTCTTGGATCTGATATTCCCGTTGGATCATTGGCCAAAATTCCCTGATCCTTCCTGGATGATCAATAACCTCCTAAGGAATTAATTAATTACTTAATAAGCAACAGTTTAATTAATTAATGATCCCATTATTGTTATTAACCCACCATCTGATTTCCCTCGTTATTAAACACGGTGATTCCCAAAACTTGGGAATTCCACATGCCTGATCCCGAGTGAATCCTTCCATCCTTCCTTTCCCACAGCTTTTATCCAGGTGCAAATTCCAGAAGGATCCGGGGAATCCTTGGAGCCGCTTCCCAATCCCAAAGGTGCTCCAGGGGAGCTGGAATTTGGGGAAGGGCTGGAGGGGCAGGAGCCAGGGAATGGAATTCCCAGTGGGAAAGGGGAGCTTGGGATTTTGGGATCTGGGGCAGGAATTGCCGGCTGGGCTGGAATTCCCAGAGAATCCCTGGATCCCTGGGAATGTCCCAGGAAAGGTTGGAGTATCCCGGCGTAGGGGAAGGCATCAATGGGAGGGAAATTATCCCCCATATCTTCATTCCTCGGGATTCCTCAGGCCATGGAGAGGGATGATCCAGGAATCCTGGAATGTTTTGGGTGGGAGGAGGCCTCAAACCTCATCCCATTCCACGGGCTTGGACACTTCCCACCATCCCAGGTTTTCCAGGAAGTGCGGATGGATCCGTGTCCTCCCTTCCTGCCCCACCTGCATCCATAGGGAAGCCCAAACCCTTTTCCCTGGATTTTTGTGATCCCACCCCCGTGGGAATCACCCATCCTCAAGGATTCCCGGGATCAGGGAGAATGCTTGGATCCGGAATCTCCTTATCCAGGATCAGAGAAGTTCGGATCAGGAGGACCGGACACTTTGGACCCTCTGGAATGCTGCTCCTAAATTTTGGTCTCATTTTCCAGTGGAACAAAGATGGGAGAGGAACCTTCCCATTTTTTTTTACCCTCCAATTCCTGGAGCTGGAATTCCTGGGATCTCCTCCTGGCCCTCAGGAAGGGAGAGATGCCCTTGGCTATTCCATGGATATTCCATGGATGGATGATCCCACCTCATCCAGCTCTTTCCCACTTTCCTCCTCTCCCAGCGGACGGACGGATCTGGGATCCAACTCCCCGCTCCAGGTCTGGGACGGGAAAACTTCATGGAATGAGTTTGGATCTCCCAAACCTTCCAATCCCACCAGCTTTTTGGGGAATGGCGGGAAAACAGCCCATCCTCCCACTTTAATTTCCTCCTTTTCCCGATTCCAGGATGCCCCAATCCCAAAAAAACCACACGGGAAGCGCCGCAGGGATCATGGAAACCAAAGGAAAGGCCAAGGCAGTTTTATTTACATCCGTTGTGTACAAAAAAAAGGACAGCTCGTGCCACAATCCGTCCCCAATCCCATTTTTCCCCTTCCCGGGATTCTCCCCGGGGCTCCGGGATCAGGGTGGGCATCTCCTGGCACCGGGAAAGAGCCGCGATTCCCTCCGGACCCGGATGGGAGCTGGGAATGTTTTATCCCGACACAGCGGAGACCAAACCCTTCGTTCACATCCGGGTTGGAATTCTGGTGCGCCGCAGCACTGGGAAATGGGAATGCAGGGAATTCCCACCCCCCCTTGGAAAATCCAATCTTCCTTCTCCCCCCATTCCGAGAGGCAAAGATCCCCCAGGAATGACATGGCAGCTCCCAAAAAAAGCATCTCCTGGAATATTTTGGGGTTTTCCACCCTCCCTGGTGTCACCAGGAGGTGCCACCGCTGTCCCCAAGGGGCTCCCATGGATATTTTTCCCTGCTCTCCACAGATTTCCATCCCACCTCCACCTTTTTCCCGAATTTTCCCTCATTCCCTTCCATCGTGGTCTCCACAGCCCCGCCCTGGCTTCTCCCGCTGCTCCATCTCCGATGGTTTTCCAGCTGGAAAGGGGAATTTCATCCAAGAATTCCCACCGGGGTTGGTTTTTGGGAGGTTCTTACAAAAAGCTTCTTTGGGAATTCATGAGGCTTTCCAATGTCACCCTTGGGAAGGATCATGGGCATCCCCAACAGCTGGAAAAAACCTTCGGAGCAAGGGAATTTCACTCCCTGACCACCTCCAACGGTGGTGGTGGGGAAAAAAAAACTTCTCCCACTTCCCAAAATGGTGCTGGAAGGGCAAAAAAACCCCAAAAACCCCGCCAGGTCTGGGAAGAGATCCCAAATCCAGGTGGGAACAAGGGAGCGAGGGACACCAAGAGACACCGCAGCCCACGGATGGGATGGGATTGGATGGAGAAGATTCCGGAGGGATTCCCGCCCGCCCCCGCCTGCCCAGCACCAAATTAAAGTCACACACGACGCACATTTCCCACAGTTCCCTCCCCACCCGCTCCGTATTCCCGGGATTTTTCCCGGGGATCACCTCCTCAGTCCCCTCCGGACCTGCTGACGGGCGGGACCCACCCGGGTGGGGCATCCCAAATCCCGCCCGGATC